AGTGAACTGAAAGTACAGGCAAAGTGATAAAGATTTTTTCATGGTTGAGAGTGCGCAAGACATTCGTCATCCTTTCTGAATTGCAGGGGCATTTGAATGAGTATTTGTCTCATTCACTGACTTCCCTGACGTCAGCGGGTGTACTAATCACTGCTGTTGTCTCTCAGACGAATTCGAGAAGCTAACTACCGAAGAGGTGGGAGGCTTGATGGGCCTGGGCGGGAGTCGAGCCGGGATTTGATCCTCCATGTGTCTGCTTGGTGAGCGGTACCACTTGTCAACATAATCAGCTGGCTATAATGTGAAGTGGCTGGGGAGCTATTCGGCTTGGAAGGGGCATTTCGCATTTTCGCTAGTCACCATTGATCTTAATGTGGACTAACAGGTAAACTCTTGTGAAGCTGCGAAATGGCACAGGAAGCCATTTTGGCTACAAGTTTTCACAGGACTTAGTAAGGTGGCCCGCTCGGGCTTCGCTGAGTTCCATTTGGTTTCCCAGCAAGCCGAACTGCGTCTTTGGCTTTTAGGTGCGGGACATGATACCTGATGTGCTAACGGCTGAACATGTCGCTGCTCAGACCACCTCCCCTCACAAAAAATAAAAGATCACATAAAGCTCAAAAGTTGCCGTTCACTCTGCACATGTAGGCTTAGGCACCCAACCGCTGCACTGCCTTTATTAGTTCCTACTCTTGACAATGTTAGGGGGGCCGCACCATAACAGGGAGGCACACAAGTGTCCGGTACTACCAGCTGTCTCCGCCCGTACATGGTCACTGCCGAGAAGGCCTTTAGAATGATGGGGGAGGGGGAGGGGGTTCAGCTCTGACCTAGCGCCTCATGGATGGCTTCTTGTAACTGAATGAGGCGGAATTTCCTCATGGCAAGCTTTTTCTTTTCTGACAATTTCTCGACCTGTAAGCTCTTCTCACATCGGTTCGAACGGGAAAGAGCAGGGTTGCGCAGCCACAGAACCTTTGGCCTCTCAGCTGTCCTTTCATATTCATAGAGAAATTTCATAGAAAAGGTGTCTTCGTGGTTCAGGGTAGATCCAGCCATGTTGACGAGATAATGCTCATAGAGCCCCATCCATCTCGTCCAAATGTAACCCTAAATGTCTAAAGACATACCCTATATGGTCGATGGTAGGCATCGACATCGATTTCAATCGGGCCAGGTGAATCTTCTTCGCTGAGATATCCGCAGCTTAACCTTATACCATCGACATCTATTGCACATATTTCGACTTGAGTACCGGCTTTGAGCCAGTATCTAAAGGAACAAATAAAATTTAAGTAGGACGATCAGGCAGGAAACAACATGAGCCAACTCACTTCATAGAAAGAGTAGTAGTTGCCTGTGTACATGGAATCAGATCGCTGCGAAGAGTAGCATAACGTCTGGGTGCAAGCGCATCCACGGCTAGAAACAGAAATGACGATGTTTGGGTAGTTTTTGTCGGCGGAGGATATCTGAAAGTATCGTTGAAAGCAGATGGCCATGACAGATCAGAAAGCGCCTTCATGGGCAGGTTATACAACACTCCTGTAGCATGTTCCAGCCAGAAGTCAGTATGAGGCGTTTTGCGTCCTGAGAGGAGTCTGTCTGCACCTTCGCGTTAGCTTCAAGTAGCCTGCATGGTAGTGTGCGATTTTGATGGGCAAGGAGCCATCTCGGAGCTTTCTACCCTCCCCCTCCCCTCCCTTAGAGATTACAGGCTACTATAGCGATGACGCAAAGCTGCAGTCCGACTCTCTGGCAGACACCTAATGCCGTAGTTGATCGCTGCAAAAAAGGTATTTGAATCGAGGGACCTTTCTCATGAATCTTCTCCCTATTGAAATTGGTGGGAAGCGGTCCTAATCGAGGGACCTTTCTCCCTATTGAATTGGTGGGGAGCGGTCCTATCGGTGGAAAAGGATAAGGGGATTGTATTGTGGGAGAAGTTTTCTCGACGCCATGCACGGCAACGTCTTGAAAAGGATGTGTTCTGAAGCGCATCCAGCTCTGATGCTTACGTAGAGTCGCTTGGACCATTAAACTCTCCTCATTAATGCGTCCCTCCCCTAGAGCACCATGGAAGGAGGAACTCGCCATTGAGAAAGGCGTAGTGATTGAAGTAGCCCCGCCCAACATCAATAGCGGTGACTTTGCAAGCGTTGAAAAAAACCCAACCAGACTTCCATCAATTCGTGCCATCTTTCGACATTACGACCAATACGCCATTCTGAGTTTGTTGATTCAGCATTGCTCCACCTGGAATACACTTTAATATGTACTTCTTACTGTAGGCTAGAAATTGAGCACAGTTTGTTGGAAACGGGATTTGGCTGTTTGCTTTTGCTATTAGGTGGGCGGAAAGTTCTGTCACACTTTTTCAATTGGAACTTTCCTTTTTACAGACGAGCGCTACAAGATCACAAATTATGGCAATGTTATTGAGAGATCCTTGCCAGTTTTTGGGGAGTTCGAGGATGCCATCGCTTAGCGATACCCACCGGTACGACGCAAAGTTGGGCATCATCTCAACTTTGACTTGGGCTCAAGTCGTGGGTTTTCTCGGCTGTATAACGGTTGAATACGTGAGACGACTAGCAGTCAGAAAGAGCAATGCCTGGACTACACCGGTGCAAGGGGAGAGCCATCCAGCTTTATCTGATGAAGTACGGTTCGAATGAAGACGGACTGTGCTGCAATTGGATTGCACCGTCTGCTTGACGATTCACCTTCACAAGATCTCGTACACCAGCTTGCGTACGAATGGACCGAGGAGGGCAGCTTCTTCATCCAGTAGTTTCCCGACCCACCGCTATCTAGAGCTGAGTTTACAGGTACTCCCGAACCTCACTTCGTCATTCGAACCGTAGGCTCCCGCTCTGAAGAGCTAGCGTCGTGGAAGATTGTCTGATGACTGTAGACATTGTCCTTGTGCAGCCCCATTATTTCGGCGTCGACAGCTGCCATGCTGGCGCCAGGGTGGTAGAAGAAATAGTTTAAGGAAGCGCTTGAAGGGGTCAGTGCTGAGGAAGCGGATAACACTTCTGTCCATAATGCTGATAAAGAGGATGAAGCAGGACCGAGCACCAGATACACTAATAGAAGAAAGATCAGTCCTCAATGTATAAATGCTCACATTATCAGTTAGCTCCTTCAGGTAATAGGCGAATACATGGGCTCAAAAAAATATGGCAGAACTTTCCCGCCAACCTAATAGTTCCCGTCGACCTGTAAAAGCTACGAACTAGTCTTTGACGGAGCCTGCACAAGGGCCCAACCATGGTGAGCGGACCAAAGAAGCCAGCGACTACCGAAAATACCCCCCCTCCGGCGTGAGGGAACCAGTGTCTAAAATTGTTTTAGACAGCAAACGTTCCGGATTAAATATAACAGAAATTATGGCACGGTCCAACACAGTCCAGCCATGAATCCGTGAAAGCTTATGACGGGCTTTAACAGTTCCTAGTACCAGCTCGCCGCCCTTACGTGTCGCCCACAGAAGTACTGTTGAATCCCTCGGTGGGAGGTGGTGCCTCCTCCCCCCCCCTTAAAGCCTATAACGTCGGTAATGTGCCTTCGATCTGTGTGGAAATTCGAAGAAATCGTTTCAAAGGCAACAAGTAGGGAAAACAAGACAATTTATAGTGCTAGAAATAATTCGTAACCTGCATTTCTTCTGCGGATGAGCACAATCCAAATCGGAGAGCTTCTGGATCGGTTTCGGAGATTTTGGCAGCAGTGGCTTTGAACCGAATATCGACGGGAACGCTAGAAGAGATACTGTGTCTCGTTAAGAGATAATTTTCAGTGCTTTATATTTTTTTCAGTAGCCATATTTCGTAGTAGATATGTATGTGAAAAAAAGAAAAGAAATTGAATATACTTTTACTGGAAACGGTTTTAAAACCTTCGGAAATAAAAAGACAGAAGCTGACTTACGTGATTCTCTGCATATTATTGCATTGTATGTTATGTTTTTCAAGAGCACCATACTGCCAACCACATTGTCCTGCAATAAAATATTTCAGGGCCAAAAACCCTGGACGGGGCGTTAAAAAAGACTACCTGTAGAAATCTGGCATTACTGTAATGGTGATAAGATATTTCACTTGAGGCTAAAGAGGGGAGGTACTGCGATGTTAGCGAACCCATTTCAAGCGCCTACGCACTCCTGTACGCAACAGTTGGTGAAAAACAGGTCCAGCCGGTGAATTGGTACCATATCCGTCCACACCACAATCAATAAGCCACTAAGATTTTAGGGAGACGGGCAAGAGAATCGCAAATTGCCGCCGCGCCGCTTGCGGCGGGGTGCGGCGTCTTCTTAACTCGTGTTGACCTGTCGATTGGAACACCGGACTTCATATAGGCCCCTCATCGTGGACACTAATGACTATTTTCGGTTTTTTTTTGAAAGTGGCCCCTGCCCCTCTCGCCATCTACTACCTGGACATCTCACTTACGGGCCCACGTCCACGCGACGCCCACCAGTGCAGCGAATTACGATCCTCTTTGACACACCCCTAAGACGTGCTCATTCATTGGATATCTGCACCCTCTCTACAGGAACGTGTATGGCGAGGTGAGATTAAAGCCGGCGAGGACGCAGACGAACAGAGAGGATGCAGGTTAGCCTCGTTCGCTTTTCTCGGTTAAACTGACGCCTCGCTTTCTATCATTCATTGAAATCAACTACGTCACTAAAAATGCGAAGATGCAAAAAAGCAGTTACTTGCCAAAAAAACCTGGAAATTATCAACTCACCCTAAGATTGAAGGCTCTGATTGCCAGCCGAAATGGTTCGTTAACTGGAGGTATTTTCACAGTACAAATATCGTTGCCTGGTCGAAGAATATGAATTTGGCAGTTGATTTTTGGACGAAACAGCGTCTGCAAAATATGTTATCGATCAGATTTCCAGGAAACGGCTGGAGCATCAAAGATTATCTTCAGTGTTCATTAAATCCTAGGCGTCTCAACTGATAATCACTGGGGAACTCCGAGTCACATGCTTTCAGTCAGGAAAGTGTCAAGAGGCACGGAATGAGCTCACTCGTGGTTTTTTCACCACTAGTTTCCTTCCTAGATTACTCAGCCTACACCGATTACTGCTGGTGGACAAGGGGGCCAGGTGCGGGCTCTTCCCCCCCCCTCCAGACACCGCCTCGACTGATTGTGACGGTAGCAACTATACCTGTAAATGTCTCCGACGATGCGTAGCTCGAACAACTATCACTTCCACTCTACCACTGTTGTACAGCCAATAGCTGAAATTTACGCAGTTCATTATTCTGATTATCCAGGAATTCAGCCACGCCCCATGTTTTTTACTGGTTTTTCGAGGGGCGGCAGTATTAAATGCACAGTACTCATTGCTCGTGTGGGCGGAGTCGGGCCTTGCATATCGCCTTCCTCATTTTCGCCGTTCTTCTTCTTAACGTGTTATAAAGAAAGGAAGCATTACGCAACAAAGAAATAATGAAGACATTGGCAGGCCTGACTCCGCCTCTTTGACAAAGCTGTATCGAAACGCTAATATGCAGTTGTTTGGCTCATTGTTATCCGAAGATTATGAGGGTAGGCAATTCTGGCAAACTGAAAACAACGGGGGTGGAACGTCAAGTTACCGCCCGGTTTCCTCTGACAAGCAATTGGTGCACTGACAAGTGTGGCGCTGTCAGCAACGACTGAAGTGTTCCCGGCTATTAATAGATGTGACCCTAAAGAAAGAATATCAAACACTATATCACATTGAAGTGGAACAACATGGTTGATAACATTTTTTACTCACTTTGGCCCAAATTACCCCTCCTCAGAGGGAGAGAAGCTGAACCCATTGGATTCCCAAGAAAAGTTGTGACCCTCTAGCTTTTTTGAGGGGATAACAGATCTGTGTGCGATGGATGATAAAACCTAACTTCCGGAATCGTCAGTGCTCGCACACTCCCAGGCACAGGACTGAGCCGGGATTTTGCGTTTGTCAAGCGCAAATGAAAGCAATGAACACTTTATGGGCCACATTAAAATACCGAAAAAGAGAAATCATCAAAACAGTTTATAGTACGTAGTGCTGGCTCCCTCCCTCATCAGATGAACAAACTTCAGTCAGGACTTAGGTCCATACCAGAAGGTGAAGTGGTCAAAATACAAGCCTATGGTACATAATGAGACGAATTTTGTGGAACATTGCATGTACCGGGCTGGGATTCTAATGAGACAAAAATCGCAAACCTAGAGCAATATCTCCGCTCGACCAGGCTGGATTTGAACCGGAAGCATTTTGGCACTGAAAAAAACGTAGTTACAATACGTATGGAAGGCTTACCCAGAATGGTACTGAACTGATCACTGAAGAATAAATTGGTCCCGTAGGACATCAGCTAGTTTAACGAGCTCTATCTGTTGGGTTAGCTATTAACAAGTGGTAGATGAGTCATTTCTAGCGGCACAATTGTCTCAGTACCGAGAAAAGCGGCCGTAAGTAATACGGGAGAGGGGGAGGGGCAGTGCTCCAACGGGAGGGAAGCCCTCTTCAATCAGCTGTCAGAAGCAACTTTCTAAACGGGCTAGCGTCATCAAAATCATGGCGAATCACTCCGCAAACGGACCATTTTCAATTCAAACTTTTCTCGATCCACATCGAAGATTCATCCCGAAACATACCTTGAAGTACCAGAAATCAGATGTGTCAAGTAGGTTATCGCTGGGTGCATTCTTCCATAAACATTCACTTTCCAAATCGCAATTGAGCTCCTCAGGTGAAGTTATGTAAGAGGCGAATTTCGATGAGTCTAAAGTTCAAAAAAAAAAACCGTACGTGAATGTCTAAAATAAAAAAAAACCGTGAGTGAATATCAGAAATGTCTTTGAATTCATTTTTTTCCTGACTCAAGTGCACTATATACCCAACCCACCCGCCTCCGTCTTCTTTTCTCCTTTGCACAGCTGCAGTTTTTTGGGGAAAAGGGAGAGAGTTTCTGGAGGAAAAACTCCAGGAAACGGGTAGGAAGTGGGAAAATCGGGTAAGACGGTAGTTAGGATGGAAAATAGGAAAGGAGTTGTACCAATAGAGGAATACTTGAGGGGCGGGAGGGGGGGGTTGTATTTTGTAGAATTTTTCTCCAACGAGGGCGGACGTGCCTTGATCAAAACACGGGCACTGACTGGTGTCGATGGGAGACAAATGTGAAAACCGCGCTATGACCTGCCAGTGCGGTGAATGCTACTATTCCTATTGGAGTAAAGGAAAAAAGAACTTTTCGTATAACCAGACCATTCGAATAATCAGACCAACCTTTAGATGGAATAACTCCGTCGTTGTCTGGTCGGACACCCAGATAAAGATCCAAATACCGCAGTTCTTTTTCAAACTGTGGATGACATGCGTTCACAAGAGAGATGCTGGCCAAGAGGGCAATTAGTGTGTGGAAACTTGACAGCATGGGCAACATTCGACAACCTGGGCAAAAGGTTAACTTGTAATAGTAGGGATCTGAAACTGAAAGTTGACTTGTCCATGAAGAAAGAAGAAGAGGAAACAGTTCAAAATAAGGCCCTACTCGTTCCAAGCGAGAGAAAAATAACCGATGAGGTTATCGGGCGAGAGGACAGAGAAAGCAGCGAGAGAGCATGTAAACGAGCTAGACAGCAGACAAGGCATCATCAAAGTGGGCGGAGTCACTTTAGCAAACAAGCACGTAATCGTGGGCTCTACCTTTGAAGAAGAAATGCTCATACAATAAAACTTACAGTCTTGCTCGCTGAGCGCCAACGCCCGGTTCCCACCAGCTGCTGTCGCTTGTGCGCTCCAACAACTGGGTGAGAACAGGCGGCCAGAGGCGCGTCAAACTCAGCACCCTTTACACGCCCCAGGCATTTGCAGCGATCAAGACTGTGTATACATCTATAAACGCCTGTTATATGTCTACTTTGCTGAATGACGCTGAGCTTCACCGGCAGCTGGGGCTGGTACCAAAGTCAAAAAGTCGTAGTTCAAGTTTAAGACGACCCAGGATCGTGATAAACTAGTGAAGGTGACCAGATAGAAGGGATGAAAGGGTCACACTTGCAGCGAAGAAAAAGTTTGGTTAAGGTGGATGGCCGTAAAATCAAAATTGCATACTTCGTCCCTGGAACAAATCTGAGGAATGGAAAAGAGATGAGAACATCACGCTTATCATTTCATGGACTCTATTTCTGTAGAATCACTACAGACAGATATCGATCGAAATTATCGGATTTTGCATTCGCAGTGAATAATGTGGAGTCTCCCCTTATTGAGGATTATCTGAGACCAAT